GGTGGGCACAATTTATCGATATTGAACGTCGAGTTTTTGGCTATGAATTTAATGATGATAAAAATATAAAACAATATTACCCAAATTCATAGGTGCAATTCTATAACAATTCGATAAAGCACATTCAACAAAACACAAATTTCAACAATTCACAAATTTTTGGTTGTAATTGATAGGTGCAATTCTATAACAATTCACATAAAAGCACAGCAGGGGCAATTTCAACAAAACACAAATTTCAACAATAAATTAGTATTTAGCTCTTGCACCTTATTTGGTGAGGAATAAAGCATCAACATGTTCAATAGGCCAATGATGTTTTCCGACATTTTCATCTCAAGCGTCACAGAGTATCATTCAAGATTCGAAACAAACAGTTCCTAATCCAACAAAAGGCAAGATGAAAGAGTGTTAATCCAGACCTTGGAACTAGACCTGATGTATACCTGAAAGATGGATGAAGCATTAGAAATTAGTACATAAATAGAACATATTGTAAGGAGCCACAAGATGAAAGAGTGTTAATACTTGAGGAATTGAGACTTTGCACAGCTGGGATCGCCCACAATACAGACATTGATATCACCCCTCAAATTGATTCCTTCATGGGTAAATTTATGGACTCCAGTTACTCCACCTAAAAGCATAAGCAGAATTGCTCATTTGATATCTTGGTGGCCGAAAATAGTTGGGGCAATGCTATCAACAATTTTGTTGAAAAAGTTGGGAGTCTTCCTCATTCGTTGCAGGGGCACAATTTATTCAGGGGAGATATATGTACTCAAACTATAATATGGGAAGACATTCATAAGTTTAATGCTGTCTCCCAACTAGTAAATATTTCCTGTTGTCTTACTGATTTTTGGAAATGCTCACAGTTTTTGGAAATTCTACACAATTGAACCTGAATATGTAAAACTTATAACACTCAAATCACAAATATGCATTCAAAAACACCAAAATCATATAAAACGACCCAAGCCAAAATCAAACAAAAAGGGGAAAAGACCCAAGCTAGTATAACCGAAAAGACCCAAGCTAAAATCAAACTTACACTAGTTTACTGTTGCCGATTGTCGAAGGATAAAGCAGAAAAATCGCCGGGACAGTCGCACGGAGGCGAAGCAGGTCAATAATCCCCATCTTCTCTCTCTCAACCTATCAAATGCTCCACCATTCGATTCTAACCCAATCTGAAATCCCCCATGTTTTCTATATTTTCGAGACTCAAATAGAGGCTGAGAGCCGCGTGCGAAGTGGAGGGCTTCAGTTCAGGCTTCAAGCTGCGAAGTGGAACTGTGGAGGCGAAGTGGAGGCTTCAGGCTGCGAAGTGGAGCAGACAGAGGATGGAGTTGTGATTTGTGAAAAAGGTTTAAATTTTTCGGATTGGGCTTGGGCAGTTGGGTATAATATACTGATATTTTGGGTTTTCTCTCTTGGATGGGGACTTAGCCTATAACTTTAAAAAAAAAAAAAATTTTTGAGCCCAAAAGTTCAGGGTGGGCCTGTGCCCACCCTGGGCCTTACTGGGCTCCGCCCCTGTAAAAAAAAAACTTGAGCCCAGAAGTTCAGGGTGGGCCTGGGCCCTCCGTGGGCCTTACTGGGCTCCGCCCCTGATTACAAGTGAGTAGTAGTTGTTGATTATAAAAAATATGTGAATAAAGAGCATATTTGATCCAATTAAATCATAATGCCAAACATGCACAATAAGTAACGTGACACATATATTAGTGTTCTCATTATAAGATGTTACATTGTTATTAAACTGGATTACTTAAAAACTTAAACTATTCACTTGTTGATCGAATTCATTCTTCTACAAATTAAAAGGCTATAATGGTGGATTTGTCTATACACTAAAGATATTGATGTCAAGCCATGCGTTAATGACATGTGGCTATCATGTTCGACATGAACATGTCGAGCGTTCATGATATATCTCGTTTGGTATGGATCAAAATTTAGATTTTAATTTAAGTCAAAATCATAATTAATTTTAATAACATATTTTATGGGACGCACAACTTTTCAATCACATATTTTATCAACTTTTATTAAAATTTAATAAAAGTCTGATTTTAATCTCTTCCAAAGAAGGGACATAATTAGCCCCGGGTTTGGATAAAAATTAGATTATTAGCAAGTTTTGATAAAAAGTTGGTGAAATATGCAGTTCAAAAGTTCATAAAAGTTGCAAATCTCATAAAATATTTTGTTAAAAAAAAATTTACGAAAAAATAAATCTTTAAAAAATGAGGCCCAAAAGTAAACTTATTTTATCTTTTCTTCTTGATGTAACATATTTTTGGTAAAATGGATTTTTACCATATATTTTGGACACGGTTAGGTTACTGCATGCATTAATATATCTTTTCTTCCTGAAAAGAATCCAAAGTTCAAATTCTAATCCGTAAACAAGATAATTTCCAAAGTTTGACCATTTGACCAAGAAAAGAGACAGCAGGCATGATCAACGTGGGATAGCCTGACGAAATAATGTCGCAGGCGATAAAAGGTCATACAAAAAATAGTACTTTTAAGTACGTAAAATGGACTTCTTGAAGTATAATGACAAACTCAGAATTTTGATTTTCTTCACAGCCCAAAAATTGATGTTGAAATAATCAATAGACACCAAACAACAGTGAAAACTTGTTTTGCAAAGATAAAACGCTCCGATAGGAACGTTTTCTCACCATCTGGAAAAGAAACAATGCCGCATTTTTATAAAAGGCTCATGCAAAGAAGATTTGAGGATGAAATTTGCACTTTTTTTCTATTTCTCAAGGTACAATGACGAACTGATAAATCAATCCCTTTTTTGTTTTGCTAAAATTCATATTTTTAATAGATTTTAGCAAAATTTTATGAAATACGTGGTTGAAAAATTGATAAAGGTCTCATGCTGAAAGTATAGTTAGAATTAATTGTTGATTTTAACTTCATTTTTTTCAACTAAACCAAACAATGGCTCAATACAAAGTCATATCCATAGGTATGAAAATGGAAAAGTTCTTTTATTTTATTCATATATAGATATGACTTAGCCAATGCAAAGTCTCTGAAATGATACATATACGTAAGGATAAAACATGGAGCCAAACCTAAACTCTTAAGCTGGCCTAATCTAGTGACCAAACCCTAGACAAGAACGAAACAAAATTCGGGGGAGCTATGGTTTGAAATCACATTAGCAAGCTTCTAATTATGGCTGCTTGAGCACTATCACCGTCTGTCGACTCCAAAAGCGCCGATAGTCGATCACTCAGATCATCGACCTCTCTGTGTAAGCTCCTAATGTAGTTACAAGTCTCCTGCAAGACCTTTGAAGCCGATACCTGCCATATTCAGAGAATAAGACTGGAATTATTCCTTTAAGTTGAATGCAATCCATTCCTCTACAAGGAGACACTGACATTGCCCAGACGAAGTTTAGTTGAGAGTTTGCAAAATGAAAGAGATTAGGTACATCTTTGAATGAGAGTATAAGTAATCAATAATGGGAAACCTTAGAGTCCCACACTGGAAAATTTTAGGTTAAATGAAACTGCAAGAATTAAATGTGGCTGGTGGCCTTGTCGGCACGAGCAAATGGTGAAGGCCACAAAAATGTAAGAATAACTGAGATAAGCACACATGTACAACAATTAGTGAAATACTAATGTAGTACCTTGTCTGAACGACGTCGAGTGCGAATTTCAGGGATAAGCTGCTGCAACTTGGATACAAGATCAGCGATCTGTTCATCGCTTATCCTGGAAACTCCTGGCTGCGTCGACTGGGATCTTCTGCTAGACATTGTCAGGTTAGCTATATGGTGAATGAGAAAAACAAATTATAAGTTTCAGAAAAGTTTATATTTCTTGAGCAAGAAAGAAGGGATAATCTGTTTATAAACAAGTTAGAGAGATAAGGGAACTATGAAAGAGAAAAAAACAATGAAATGCGAACTCTAAAAGTAGTATTGGAGGTGGTGATGAAGACAAAGTGCATGGGAGAAAGCAGAGGGCTATTCTTGCTTTTAAAATAGAGAGAGGGCGTGGGTGTGGGTTGGTGTGGGTGGGTGGGGCAAGGGGTAGGGAAGATACGCCATACCGTCCTTCTCTGTCTTTCCCCCAAACAGCGAAATTGGGGTTTTGGAGATCAAGCTGGTTAATATGAATTTGCTTGATTGTAACTTTGTTGGTCAGTTTAACCACGCTAGCCCATGTTATGTTATTGTCCTTCGTCATTTAAATATTAGTACTAAATAAAATTTACATTTGGTTAACACAATTCAACTGATTCCTAATGCAAACCTACGAAAAAAAAAATCGATAATAATAAAAGAACTTAGGGTTTTGTTACCGGCATAATGATGAGCATTATAATTTAACTTCCTGACGATGGATATCACAAGTTCTTAACTATTAGTAGTGTAATTTTTATGTTGGAAATAAGAGGGTGCAACAATCAAACACTCGGATACTTAATTAATGAGATTGAAAATAGGTTGAAGTAAAATAAGGATTCAAAGAGTTGTGTATAGGATAGTGTTCCATTTATGAAGGATTAGAGGTCATCATATAGAGGTTGAGGGGTTTGACGTCGCCCTTGTCATTTCAAATAGTTTTGGCGTTATGTTGGTGCTCACGTATCCTCCTTTTGATGGCACTAATTAATGTGAACGACGCATCAAGATACTCATCAATGTAGTCATCACCTTCGAAGCTATAGTTTTCTCGTCAAGGCCATTGGTTCGTTGGTTGGCAGCCGTAGCTTTGGCTATTTCTAGTATAAATGGAATCAGTAATTCAATCTGATTTTCCTCTTCAGGGGAGTGCCGATGATTTTTCGGAGTACTCATATACTAAAAGTCTAGTGGCCGTGCACTCCCAATCAAGCTTAAAGTTGTGTTTTTTGTTTATCCCTACTATGAACATTATTATCTCTGGTAGTTCAAAGAATATTACGTGGGGCTTTTCCTATCTTATATGAAGGTGAGGAACCCCGATATTGATAGAGGTTATTGCACATAGATATGTTGTAGCCAATGTGTCCAACTCGACCTATGTGCCATGTATGATAGGGGCACAACATAATGTCCATGTTTGGTAGAAATTAAAACTCAGATTTTAATTTAAAATAAATTCAACAATTAATTTTAATCATACTTTTTATGGAATCCACAATTTTTCAATTACACATTTCATCAAATTTTATTAAAAATCTAATTTTAATCCTCATCGAATAGGAGCTACTTGTGTTTTTTGTTTTCAATGAATGGGAGCTCGTGTTGCTCATTAACTCTAGTCATCACTTGAATAGGGAATTGGGTGAAATTAATATAAAATTGTCTTGAGTTTTGTCTGGAAGTAAGAATATTTGTATAATGCATTGGGGCTGTACATGCCGCACGTGATGGGGATATTTTGCAATTTTCTACGGCGAGATTCCTGCTTGTGATTTTGTCGACCCTTGCAACGTTTGATATCGCCGTCATGTGCGCCTTCTCCAATGGCCACCCTACGTTAAAGACCACAACAACAACGAAAAAGAAAAGTTAATTTTATTTTCAATAAATTTAGCAATTGTGCTACATATAAATCATGACTTACATATTAGGCCGTGTTTGATAGGTCACATTTTTTGGGAAAGTAGGAAAATATTTTTCACTTTTCACTTTTTTTGCTGTTTGATAAGCGAAATTTTCCACGGAAAATATTTTCCGGATTTTCCCCACACGTGTGCAATTTTCGGGTTTTTTATTAAAATGTTTTCTTGGCTGGCTGGAAATTTTTTTTTTTTTTTTTTTTTGGCAATGGAAACAAATGTCATAACTAATGGTAAAAAAAATTTCACTTTAATGGACAATTTTCATGTAAAATAAAGTCAAACGAACACTAAAGTTTGATGAAAAAAATCTTTTTTAGGAAACAATTTTTTTCCCTTTTTTTTTTTTTTAACTTTTTGGCAATGGAAAAAAATTTTATAACCAATTGTGGAAAAAAAATCACTTTAATGGACAATTTCCATGTAAAACAAAGCCAAACGAATAGAAAATCTAAAAATTTTCCGAGTGGAAAATTATACCAATTAAACACACTTGAAATCATTTTTCCTACAAAACATTTTCTAAACAAATCTTTTCCCTGTAAAACATTTTCTTTCCACCCATTTTCCACCCTTCCAATCAAACGCACCCTTAGTATACATACACATGTTGTGGTGAAATATAATTGGAACAAAATTTATTCAACAACAAAAAAGAAGAAGCTTTTTTCTAGAGGTAGATTGTGCTTTTCACCTCTGTCGACATTCCTATCTACGTGGAAGAAATTCGTGCAGTGATTTGATAGATAAGTTTCAAAATCAATGATTTTGATGGATACATGCAGAATAGTATCAACCAAGATGTGAAGGAGAGTGTACATGTAGCATGGTTGTAAAACTCTACACTCTATTTTTAACACTTTATCTATTTGTAAAACTTCACGTAACTCTTCAAGTACAAGTAGAATTATTCATAAATAGTTTGGGGACTTTAGCATCAATCAATGGCCATAATACCTACTTATGAACCATAACTAAAATTAGCTCAAGAAACAAACAATTTAAGGCCCTTTTTGGTACACATTATTTTTTTCATTCTCATTCTTCTACTCATTTTCAACCACACATTCTTCAATAAAATAATATTTTTCATCATATCAATAACTTTTCCTTCATTTTTAACCACACATTCTCCATCAATCTACTATTCAATAATATATTCTTTCAAAAGAATGTGTCCTAAACATACTCTAATTATTGGAAGTTATTCTAATTATATATGAAAATAAGCAAGTAAACAAGTCTCTAAATTTAATTAAGTCACGAAAGGCATTGATTACTTGAATTCATCATTGTTAATTATATATGAAAATGCATTTTTATTATTGTTGATGTAGTGGGAAATATGTGGTTGAAAAAAAAGGAAAAGTTATTGATGTGATGGAAAATATTATTTTATTGAAAAATAGGTGGTTAAAAATGAGTAGATGAATGAAAATGAAAATGTGGCTTAAACAGGGCCTTACTTCAATCCTCAATTATCCTTTGTTAACAAATCTTATTCTACGTTGACAATCGGAATTCCTCACATCCTAATATTGTCTCTTGAGATAAATTAAATCAATTTTTGCGTGTAACTCAATTACAGATGAACAATGCAAATAAATAAAAACGCAATAAAATATTAAAATATTTGCACTAAGTATAGAAGCATATTTCTATCTTTTAGAACCTAGTGGTGTTTGTTATTTGTGCTAGAAGCATAATTTCCTCTCGATATAATTACGAATTTAAAAAAAATCCTTTAATTGGTCAAATAATAGGACGATAATTAATTCAATAATAGCCAACAAACCCACTATAATTTAAATAACAAATAAGTAATTTATTGAATTAAAGAATAAATATGGTTTCAACAAAAACCTCACAACAAAAAGTTTAGCCTATCATGTTTTAACTATAAAAATACAAGAGAGATAATGAATACATAAACCCAGATGATGATGATGATGATGATGATGATGATAAAAGAAAAAAAATGTCCAAGTCGAAGAATTTCTTGTAATTTTGCTCCGAAGAATTTTATGTAATACAACCTCCTTTGTCTAAAGTCGTGCCTTGAAATTACAAAATTTATCCCAATTTTAAGTCAAAAAATCACTGAGTTGGAACTTGAAGAGGTCGCGATCTTTAGTTTTGCCCGCTTGTAGTGACATAACTATGAATGTGCATAATTTTTAATTCGTAACTTCGAAATGTAGTTAGATTTTTTTTTTTTTTTTAAAACTCCAAATTTATTTATTTATTTTAATATTATACCATCTTTCTTGTGAAGATCTTTGTGTTGGAATTTAGTTTAGAGAATAAAAATAAATTTAGTTAAGTATAGAAAAGTGACTTTCGTGTCAACTTTGCTCAAATATTCGGACTTCATTTGATAGTCAAATTATAAATATAAATAGACTAACTTGTTCTACTCGTCGAGTAGATCGTCGTGATATATTTGGAATCTCAAAACCAATTACAAATGTATGAGAAATTGAGATCCGAAGTTAGATGGAAAAGAGGATATATAGGCTAGAAAAATGGTTTACTCTATCGCTCGAGCAACAATCTAGCTATAGGCGAGTGAGAGAGGCTCTGTTGAAAAGGTGTCACTGTTGAGCGAGAGGCCAGCGACAAGTTAACGATAGTAAGTGATGCTTCCCATCGTGAAGGTTGCTAAGTTTGGGACGTGACACTTCACTCACAACACTTCCTCTTCTATATATATGACCATTTGGACGTCCATTATGCATCCCATATCACTTTGTATTGATCATTACATCGAAACTCTTGCAAAATACTTTCCAAAATCATTTTCTTGCAGAGAGAAAATTATTGTTCCAAGTTCGTTGTTGCTTGTGATTTAAAGTGTTTCTACTACAAATTGTATTCATTGTATCTTTGGAGGCAAGTATCATATCCCGTTAACACCGTTGTAGGGCAATATTGTCTTAAGGAAAAAATATTTTCACTTGCCTCAAATTTTAATCTTCGCCTTATATTCTTTTTCCTTACTTTCTTTCTTTCCTTTTTCCTAGAATTTAATTACGCTTCTGTGAATTAAATATTTTCTTTGTCTAAACAATCATTTACATATACTAACGATCCAACAATCTTAAGACAATACTCGTTTGTTTGTGGTTGTTGTTGGACACCATTTCTTCATCTTTGGAATAAGCATTTGTGTGCTATTCATTCCTTTCATTATTTTATATGTTAAAC